CATGTGTGTTGTGTGTGTATCTTGTTCTTATTATTGTAAAGATTGTGTACTATAAGACCATTCACTTTTGGTACAAGGAGGTCACAATTACTATTTGCCACCGGATGTGAACTCCAACTTATTGAAGTGTGTCATAGCATTTGAGAAATTTTATTTTGGACTTTGTGCCCAGTCAAAGGCACATCCCCAACCACCTGATTTAACATGTAATATTCAATAATGATTGTGACCTCCTTATACCAAAAGTAAATGGTCTTAACGTATCCATGTCCTTATTATGAATTGGTATATTTTGCTATCTTGTTCCTTTAACCAGCACCCTATTTAATTGTTAAAGGTGGCAATGGGCTACCCAGCCCGGCCCTCATTTTTGTTTAATTTTCTTTCAATTTTTTTATTTTATTTTTTGCCTTGCCTAACCCTAATAGGGCAGGGTCGGGGCCTGGGTTAAAGCCTCTTTGGCCCGGTCAAGCCCGGGCCTCGGCTGGCCCTACAGGGAGTATGGCCAAGCTAGGGCTAGGGCAGGCACGGCTTAGGCCCCTTGGCCTGGCCCGTTGTCAGCCCTACTGATCGTCTCCCGATTGACTTGGTGGATAATCCACACATGCAAACGGGTGCTTCAAAATCCATTCTTATCTGAGTCATATAAGTGGTTTAGAAACACCTCTAAGGAGTTGTTTCCTTTACAGCATTTCTCATCGATATAAACAGGCAAGGACTTTTAAAGACAGAATAATGAGATTTTTAATCGGTATCCGTTCTTATCAATCATATGCATGTTTCATGTTCACCTTTATGCCATGGGGGTCATATCCATAGGTTGATGTGTTGTTGCTTGGTAAAGCATGGTGTGTGTTTGATGGACTAAGCGGGTGTGGATGTGGAGAGGGTCATTTTGTTTTATCTTTTCTTCTCTTTTTTGTCCTTTTACAATAAGAGAAGCCATTTAGTTCAAAGGGGGACATCAGTTGGAGGAGAGTGGGAATGAGCAAGGTGATTGTCAAATTGTTTGATATTGTGTTTGAAGATAAACTGGTGGCAACGGGGCTGGCCAGCCTTGGCCCTGGCCCAGCCCTTGTCCTTATAGGGCTAGCCCAGGCCTGGCCGGGCTGGAATGGACCAAATACAAACGAAGGACAAAAAAAACAAGAAAAAAGGAGGGCTGGGCCGGTCTAAACCGGGCCAGCATTTGACCTAGCCCGGCCCTCGGGGCACAATTTGTGGCCCAGGCTCACTTTTTTAGGGCTGGGCTGCCCGCCCCATTGCCAGGCCTAGGCATGCTATTCCATGACTGAAGGATCTATTCAAGATCCTTGAAAAAAGATAGTGGAGGTCGTTGAAAGAGTGAAGTAAATGGAATAAATGGAAATGGTTTCAAGTTCTCCAGATTCTAGAATTTCTTCTGGTTTAATATGAGCAGAGCCTGCTGGCAGTAATGAAAAGAGAGGTAAGGGAGATAGAGCAGGGGGAGTGGAGTCAAACAATCTATGCATCCCATTCTCATTGAGGGCCAGTCCTTGGAATCTGAGAAAACTAGGAGGCCAGAGTTGAGAGTGGTAGTTTGGAATTTTATTGTGCTCATTGACCACATATTGGAATGGGAGAGAATTTATTACCCAAAGCAAAAGCTGGTATTTTGGATATATTTTATGTGCCCAATGAATTGGATATCATGTTGCTTTGAGAGATGAAGCTGGAAAATGTTGACTTAATGATTATAGACTGGTTTGGACTATTACTAGTTCCTTTGATAAGAATTGTCAGGTCTATATGGTTATAGGAATCCTAGGAAGTTATTAAAAGATGAGTTCATTGAAGCTTTTTAGTGGATGTCATTTTGGAGATTGTTTTAGGTGGTGTTTTAGGCGGTTTCTGCAATGTATGGTCATGATGATCCTATCATCCATGATGAATCATGGGATGAATTAACTCCAAGGTTTGGAAACGGCTTTATGTCAAAATAGCTGTTACATTGCCCAACAGGCCCAACATGTTGCAATGTAGAGTGGCAGCAAGAAGGGGATTAAAAATTCTCTTCTTGGATAAAAGGCCATTTTGAAAGCTGTGCTATCATGTCTCAGTTTCTATTAGTAATAATCATGAAAATGCAATATAACATAAATTCCCTTAGCAAACAGAAGAGGACAGATATAATGGCTGCTACTTTCAAAATATGGAAAACAACAGGGGTTATTTTGGTAAAAAGCCCCCTTCTAAAAAAAAAGAAATAGTTCATTTTTTAAATATTTCCTCATGATTTTCTTCTCTTTCTATTATTCTCCTTTTTTTTTTGTTATTTTCTGCTTTTTCCATTTTTTACCCCCATTTCTTCCTTTTTTTTTTTAAATGTTATTTGCCTCACTATATTGGACTATAATGGATGTTACCATTATAAAATGGAAATGGACCAGCCTGAATCTTTTCCATTCTACCTATATTTTGGATAAAGCGAGAAGCCAGTGAGTAGATTGCATTTATGGATGTTGTTTTTATATTCTTACTTGTGTATATGTTTTCTCTTAGTCTATGTATTATGACTTGATTTCAGAGAAAAGGAATGCATCATGATCAACATGAAGTGTATGTGATCAACCTTCCACCTAGTGGTACTTACCAAAGTAACCTAGTGATGAGTAAATTTCTTCCTTATTAGAATGGAGCTTCTGTGTTATGGCATCCCATCAGTATTCTTGGGAGGTGAGTAATTTGTAGGATTGTAATATAGAATGATCGCAGAAGGGAGGTTAACAACAGTCTTTTCTTGGATAGAATGGCCATTTTTGGAATGGTCTCATGTGTGTGCTATTATGTCTCAGTTTTATAACTTCATATTAATAAATGATCATTGAAAATGGAATGTAACAGAAATTCGCTTCGGAAACATAAGATGACAGAAATAATGGCTGTTATTTTGAACAATGGAAAACAAGCGCTGTTATTTTGTAAAAGAGCTCGCTTTTAAAAAAATAAAATAGTTTATTTTTAATATTTCCCTGTGATTTTCTTTAATTTTTTTCCAGTTATTTTCTCTTTTTCTATCTTTTATTCCTCATTTCTTCCTTTATCTGTCATTTTCATCACTTTAGTGGCCATTACCATTGTAGAACAGAAACAGACCAGACCTGATCCCATTATACTCTGTTTTTGGATAAAACAACAAGCCGGTGAGTAGATTGCATCTGGATGTTGATTTCATATTGATGCTTGTAGTGTGTTGTCTTGTGGACTATGTATTCATCATTTGAGAAGAGAGAAAAGGAATGCATTACAATAAATGTGGAGCATATCTAAGTTTCAAAATAAAAAATAAAAAAATAAAAAACAAAACATGGAGAATATCCAATCTACTTTCCATGTAGTGGTGCTTACCAAAGCAACCTGTTGATGAGTAAATTTCAGCATTGATAAAATGGGGCTTCGATATTATAGCATTCTATCATGATGCTTGGGCGTGGGTAATGAACAAGGGCATGATAGAGGTGAGAAAAAACAAGGAACTTCTTTTACTCTAGATCTGAAAGCTGAGACAACATTATCATTCTATTATAGAGGTAGAGTTACTTAAGTGGGTGAGAATTTTTTTACAAAGGAGGGACTATTATTATTCTAGATCTGAAAGCTTAGGAAAAGAACACTGGGTTTATTGGGATATCAATCCAATGCGAGGGTCTGTATGAAACTCTTCCAAAGGTTCTAAGATGAGGGTGAGGGACGTGAGGGCACTTCCTATCTGTTTTTGTTAGGATGCCTTTGTACTGAGATAAGACGTATTCATGTGAGGTTAAGATGTATCCAGGGGAGGTAGTCCTGATAACGCTTGAATGTTTCTAATGTGCACTTTTTAGCATTACTAGCCTGCATTAACTCACAAAAAACACTGAGATAAGATGTATTCTAGTGAGGTAGTCTTGATGATGCTTGAATGTTTCTAATGTGCACTTTTTAGCATTAGTGAGCAGCATTGTTTCAAAAAGCGGACCGCCCAGCACTTGGGCGGCTGCCTAGGCATATATCCCTGGGCGCCCGCCCGAACCCCCTAGGCGGCCGCCCAGAGCCTGCGCCCCACCAAGGGGCAGAAATGCGGCTTCTTGAGGGTATTATTGGGTCTTTTTTTAATACTAAATGGGCAAAATTGTGGGTGTTAGGTTCATTTGAAACCTAAAACCCATTAGAGGCTATTTTAGAGAGAGAAAACCCAAAAAAAAATATTTTTTTACCGGGCCGCCCAGGTTCTAGGTGCGCGCCTGCGTAGGTGTGGGCAGTTTGGACCCCCCGACCGCTTAGGTGCCGCCTAGCGCTTTTTGAAACACTGGTGAGCAGCTTTGCACGTCTGAGTTGCCTCTAAAATTTCTTTCATATATCATTGGAGATGGATAGAGTGCACAACATCATGGAATGGGTATGCTTTGGACATTGTGGGATCGGAACTATTTGTCATCCATGAATAGTGGAGGGACCAAGTTGGACCATTATTCATTCCTAAATGGGTGGAGGGAAAAAACGGCCCTGTTCAGCTATTTAGTCCATGCATGCAGGGCGTACTTTTCACCTGGTATGCATACCAGGCAATGCAGAGGCTGACTTGCTATTAGGGTCGTATCAGTTCTTGTTTCGGGCTAGTTACTCGCATTATTGTCTGATGGAACAAGGTTGGCCAATTTTAATTATCTGTAATATATTCCATTTTTTTGCTTATTTCTCTTCTTATTTGATTCTTACAAAATCCTGTCCTACTGGTCTGAGCAGTTCTGACTGGAAGGGGCCCCTCACCGGTCTAGTGGCATGTCCAGTCCTAATAACATTGTGTGTTCATAAAAAGTTACCCTCTATAAAATTTACATAAAGAAGGAAATAAATACATTTGATATCAATATAGAGATTGATATGGGTTTTTGTATGACAGTGTATGTTGTTTATCTTATAGCAAATGTGAAGTTCTTGGGCTTTCATTCAAAGCTGTTGGCTTGACAAGGATCTCTTTTCCTTTCTCACTTCTGCAGATTTCAAAGACCTCCAGGGCCCTTGCCATCCTCCATGTTGGGTCTCGAGGCTCTCACAGGGGAGTTGGATGACATTGGTTTTGAAGATTATCTGAATGGTAGATGTGCCTTTTTCTCTAAATCATCTTATTTCTTACTTCATGTTAAGTTCATGAAGTTCATATCAGTTTTGGAATACAGTTTGGTTACTACTCGCAATTTTCTAAAATACAAGAGAAATTGTTGAAGAACCTTGATTCCATTACTGTTTGGTGTCGATAATCCTCTGAATAACATGACTGCGTTCTGCCTTTGAAGCTCTTTTCATCTGAATACCTAGCTTTCATGTTCAATCTTCATTTTATTTTTAAATTGAATCAATACTTTGTTGATGCTTTTCCAGATCCTCGTGACTCTGAAAGCTTTAGGCCAGTGGATATGCATAGTGGGATGGAAGTACGCCTGGGCCTCGACAAGGGCCCAATTTGCCCGAGCTTCATCTGACGTCAACATATCACTTGAGAAAAGGCATTTTGTTGCCCATATTTAAGGGAATATATTGATTAGAGTCTTCTAGTATTAGGACCTGGTCTGGCCAATTTTAGAGGCATGGGCTTTAAACTTTGTTTGGCACCCGAAAATGAAATTGCAGAGATATTGTTGAATTGCGGGGACCCTTCTTCCTGGTTGGATTTGCTCTCTCTCTACTTTGGTCTGTCCAACATTCCCTGGTTTTATAGGCAAGGATGGGAAAGCCTTGTGCTTTGTTATTGGATGGCGCTTGGCTGGTTTAATAGGGAGGTAGAGAAAAGCTATTGACCTGCTGGCTATATAGGTGGTTTGTATAAGGCTGAGGCCTTAAACAATCAAAGTAAGGTTCACCGTCAATTAATACTGAAATATATTGTTTTAGTATCAGAAGTCTTTATGATGGCCAAAAAATTTATTTTTATATGTAATTATAAATTTTAAAGTTTCAAAAATAGTACAGATCCAGTAGATGATCTATGATCACTAGAAAATCTTTAAAATCCACAATTTAGATAATACATTATAAGATGCATTGTTTCCAAGGTTTGAAATCTATTTTTTCTTATGTCCATACATCTTGCGGTCGAGATGTTTGAATCGAGTGTTTCAGCATCGAGACAATACCTTATAGTGAATTTTTAAGGTGCGTCTTAATTTAATTGTTTAGAGTCACTTCCATACAAACTTTTTCCATTATGAATTGGGATTGTATATTATGATTACAAAGTAAGTCACAATTATTCTGTTCTATTCATTAAAAGCTTAAGAAGTATCATGAAGTTAAATTATTTTTTTAAATTTTGAATCTAGTCAATGTTACTTTTACAACCATCTTATTTAAAAATTGATGGACAAAAAATTGACAGACAAAAGTAATTCTAATCTCCTTATATCAATGTCGATGGTCTCTTTGTATATTTTCCTTATTTTTCTGGATAATTGTATTTGTAATCTTATACATTTACGCCCATCCAAAAGAGAATTTATTGAAACACCATCCAACATCATGTAGCACTGGTAAAGTACACGAATGTGAAACACCAATCGTTTGATTTCACCAATATCTCTTGATCCCAAAATCTAACTAGCAAAATAACACAGGTCAAACATACGGGTGTCTGAAGAACCAGAAATCATTATTATTATGCGCTATGCAACCTCCTTTAATTAAATCAAGGTTCATACTCAATTTTCCTTTAAACGCCATCTACTTTTTGTTTGAGAAGGTTGCAAGACTGAGTTATTTAGGATTTAAAACTAGAGGAAGATATGTGAATCAAGAGAACATGAAAACAAGGAAGAAAAACAAAAAAAATGGATAAAAAACAAAAATGTAACAAACGTATATGTTTTAATCTTATGTTTTTTAGGATCCACCTAAGAATGTTTTAGATGATTATTTTCATAAGAAATAAAATAGATGTGGAGTTCTTCAATTAGATCTTGTCATGAAAATTGGATGGTCTTTGTTTAACCTTGAGCCATTATTTGAAATTTTTATTTTATTTTATTATTATTATCATTATTATGATTATCATTATCATTATCATTATCTTTATTTTTATTTTTATTTTTATTTTGAGGTTGGTGACATAAAACTTCTCTTAACTTGGATCTTACCCGAGGGAGCAGCCGACACAATGATCCTGCAGAATTGGCAAGCTTTTTCATATTTGCAATAGCTTTGTTAAACCATGTTTCATGCTTTAGAAAAATAGATTACTCAAGCCGTTTCCAGGTTACCCGGACCCCGGCCCATGACCGGGTTCCATGGCTGGGTCGTGCAATCCTACATTGGTGTAGAGAGAGAAGATTTTGGGGTTTTTGTTTCTGGCAACGAGAGAGAAGAGTCTGTGTTTTATGTTCTTGTTGTGTGAGAGAGAGAAGATATGATGATTTCTCTTTTTTTTTTTTTTGGGTAATTCAGTGGGGATGACGAGTCCCTAACCGTATTATGAAATCGTTAGTAGTTTTTTAATGTGTTAGGTGATAATTGAAGCCCTACCTGTATTTTGAAATTGTTAGTAGTTTTGTAATGTGTTAGGTGATAATTGAAGCCTAGACATTAGCAGGGGTATAAGTGGTGCTACCACCACGATCCAGTTAAAAGTTAGTTACGCAGGAATAAGTTTCCTATTTGGAGTTGTAATTTAAATAAGGATGAAGTTCTTATGAGGCCCAAGCTTTATGCAAACAAAATAAAGCCTCACCTTAAATCCACATTTGGAAAGCACTTTCGGCAGCAGAATCTCAATAATGGCTCTAAATTAAATTTCCAGTATCGACAATCAAATTTGGAACTCAAACAATGGCACAGATCTTGCGGATCTGGGAACATTTATTTTTAGGGAAAGTCGTACGGTTTAAATAATTTGTTACAACATACACTCTTTTTATGGCTTGAAATCTTAATTTTTTTTTACAACCATAATGTTCAAGCTGAGATATTCGATGTAAAGGTTTTCAATGCCTGAATTGCAATTTGCGATGAATTATGAGGTGAGACTTTATTTATTTTGATAGGACTGCAGTCCTATCAAACCTTTTTTCTTAAGGAATAGTGGTCTTTTCTACTTCCCTACATAGATACCAGAAATAGATGCATTTAATGTAATGTAATGGCTTTTTTTAATTACCCAAAAAAATGGCTTGGTTTTAGTTTGACAGGAAGTAAAGATAACTCTCTCTCCGAACACAATCCCTATGTTTTTGAGTTTCTCTTTGAGTGTCTCCAAAAACACATTCCCAAACTTCTCCCGTTTCCCTCAGTTGGTTTATTATTTTACCAAGAGGAAAAACTACAATTAACCAAGCTCCATTCTACTACAAGAAACAAAAACAGAAGAAGAAGAAAAACCCAAGTTTGGAAAAAGAGGAATACTTTAGACTTAGCCTTACAGCCAAGGTAGAAGGCAAAAACACTAAGTACCATCATCTTATATTTCATATTGCATTCCAACTTGCAGCCTCTAGACTGTCGACATAAAATTCTTCTGAAGGAATCGATAGATCCCGTCAATCATGAGCCACTGAAACCAACCAGTCTTCTCACTAGTCCTCAAAATTGTCCTCCCCATCACAAAGGCCATTCCTCTATCTTCCCTGTCTCTAACAATTGCAACTCCTCATTGCTCTCTGCCAATTCCTTGAGCTTCTCAATGACCGTTGCCACATACTCATCATCCTCCATGCTAGGATGTTCCATGTATCCATAATGCACTAGGCACCTATAGACCCCATTTGGTCCTAACTTTCCAATAAGGAAGCGCTCCTCAGATACGGCTGAAGTTATAGAGAGAATTCGGACCGTGACTACTACCATGATTTGATGCAAGGAACCAACATTTTGAATGTAGTGTCGAATTATGGGTGGGATACCATTAATGAGATCCGTGCAAAAGAAACGGACACCAAGAATACAAGATACATTGAGATTGGAGGTGAGTTGTTGGAGATCGACCAAGCTCAACTTGCGCTCAACCTCATACTCATATTTCTTGCTCCTCCTATAGGGCCATAACAATATGATTATGAGGAAAAGTGCAGACACAACAAAAGAAACCCAACCACCTTGCGACATCTTATTGAGAAGAGAGGTCAGGTCAATACCCTCATTGGAGATGAAGAGTAAGAAAAAGATGCCTATGAGCATGATGTCGGTGTCCCATACAACCAACATCACCGCTGTCATAAAGCATGTGGTGATGAGCATGACCCAAATCACACCAACCCCATATGCATTTCCTATTTCGCCACCTCCCTTGAATCCAACAACGATGAGGATGGAGAAGACTATGAGGAAATATTTCACGTCAGGGGAGTAGACCTGCTCCTCGTGCTTCGAAGAAGTGTATAATATGTTATCTGAGGGAAGTACCCCAAAGCCATGGATTGCCTTATGATGGAGAAGCTGGAAAATATCAGGGCCTGGCTTGCCACTATGGTCGCTATAGTCGCATTATGGGTGCGATGCCATTAATGAGATCTGAGGAAAAGAAACAGACACCAGGAACATAAGAGACATCGGTATTGGAGGCGAGTTGTTGGAGATCGACCAAGCTCAACTTGCGCTCAACCTCATACTCATGTTTCTTGCTCCTCCCATAGGTCCATAACAATATGATTATGAAGAAAAATGCAGATACAACAAAAGAAACCCAACCACTCTGCGACACCTTAATTAGAAGAGAGATCAGGTAAATACCCTCAATGGAGATGAAGATCAAGAAGAAGATGCTTATGAGTATGATGGTGGTGTCCCATACAACCAACATCACCGCTGTCATAAAGCATGTGGTGATGAGCATGACCCAAATCACACCAACCCCATATACATTTCATATTTCGACACCTCCCTTTAATCCAACAACGATGAGGATGTAGAAGACTATGAGGAAATAGTTCACGTCAAGGGAGTAGACCTGCTCCTCGTGCTTCAAAGAAGTGTATAACATGTTACCTGAGGGAAGTACCCCAAAGCCATGGATTGCCTTATGATAGAGAAGCTGGTAAATATCAGGGCCTGGCTTGCCACTATGGCCGCCATTGTCGCATTATGGGTGAAATACCATTAATGAGATCTGTACAAAAGAAACGTACACCAGGAACAAAAGAGACATCGGGGTTGGAGGAGAGTTATTGGAGATCGACCAAGCCCAACTTACGCTCAACCTCATACTCATGTTTCTTGCTCCTCCCATAGGTCCATAACAATATGATTATGAGGAAAAATACAGACACAACAAAAGAAACCCAACCACCTTGCGACACCTTATTGAGAAGAGAGGTCAGGTAAATACCCTCAATAGAGATGAAGACCGAAAAGAAGATGCCTATGAGCATGATGTTGGTGTCCCATACAACAAACATCACCGCTGTCATAAAGCATGTGGGGATGAGCATGACCCAACTCACAACAACCCCTTATGCATTTCCTATTTCGACAGCTCCCTTGAATCCAACAACAATGAGGATGCAGATGACTATGAGGAAGTATTTCACCTCAGGGGAGTAGACCTGACCCTCGTGCTTCGAAGAAGTGTGCAACATGTAACCTGAGGGAAGCACCCTAAAGCCATGGATTGCCCATCACTGCTGTCATAAAGCATGTGGTGATGAGCATGACCCAAATCACACCAACCCCATATGCATTTCCTATTTCGACACTTCCCTTGAATCCAACAACGATGAGGATGGAGAAGACTTTGAGGAAATAGTTCACGTCAGGGGAGTAGACCTGCTCCTCGTGCTTCGAAGAAGTGTATAATATGTTACCTGAGGGAAGTACCCCAAAGCTATGGATTGCCTTATGATAGAGAAGCTGGCAAATATCAGGGTTTGGCTTGCCACTATGGCCGCCATAGTCGCATTATGAGTGGGATGCCATTAATGAGATCTGAGCAAAAGAAACAGACACTAGGAACACAAGAGACATCGGCATTGGAGGCGAGGTGTTGGAGATCGACCAAGCTCAACTTGCGCTCAACCTTATACTCATGTTTCTTGCTCCTCCCATCGGTCCATAACAATATGATTATGAGGAAAAATGCAGATACAACAAAAGAAACCCAACCACCTTGCGACACCTTATTGAGAAGAGAGATCAGGTAAATACCCTCAATGGAGATGAAGACCAAGAAGAAGATGCTTATGAGTATGATGGTGGTGTCTCATACAACCAACATCACCGCTGTCATAAAGCATGTGGTGATGAGCATGACCCAAATCACACCAACCCCATATACATTTCCTATTTCGACACCTCCCTTTAATCCAACAACGATGAGGATGTAGAAGACTATGAGGAAATAGTTCACGTCAAGGGAGTAGACCTGCTCCTCGTGCTTCAAAGAAGTGTATAACATGTTACCTGAGGGAAGTACCCCAAAGCCATGGATTGCCTTATGATAGAGAAGCTGGTAAATATTAGGGCTTGGCTTGCCACTATGGCCGCCATTGTCGCATTATGGGTGAGATACCATTAATGATATTTGTGCAAAAGAAACGTACACCAGGAACAAAAGAGACATCGGGGTTGGAGGCGAGTTATTGGAGATCGACCAAGCCTAGCTTACGCTCAACCTCATACTCATGTTTCTTGCTCTTCCCATAGGTCCATAACAATATGATTATGAGGAAAAATGCAGACACATCAAAAGAAACCCAACCACCTTGCGACACCTTATTGAGAAGAGAGGTCAGGTAAATATCCTCAATAGAGATGAAGACTGAAAAGAAGATGCCTATGAGCATGATGTTGGTGTTCCATACAACAAACATCACCGCTGTTATAAAGCATGTGGCGATGAGCATGACCCAAATCACAACAACCCCATATACATTTCCTATTTAGACACCTCCCTTGAATCCAACAACGATGAGGATGTAGATGACTATGCGCAAGTAGTTCACCTCAGGGGAGTAGACCTGCCTCTCGTGCTTCGAAGAAGTGTGTAACATGTTATATGTGGGAAGAACTCCAAAGCCATGGATTGCCTTAGGATAGAAAAGCTGGTAGATATCAGGGCTTGGCTCACCACTATGGCCACCAGAGTCGCTATCATAATTATGGGCCAAAACATAGGGCACGGCACGGAGTTGTAAAAGGTGGAGTTTATGTTCTCTGGGTTCTTTATCAGATACGCCACCTTTCCTGCATAAGTTAGGAGGTGGCATGGATAAAGAGGGAGAGAGAAGGCAATTTGAATTCATCGGTTGTTGAAATGACCCAAATCAGCAAACATAGCCTCATGTCACACCCCAAATTTTGCTAAGCCCAGATGTCTTGTGCATTAGGTGCTTAGACACGCATTCTTTGTGTCACCTGTGCACAAAAGGTTCTAGAGAACTCTAGAACCTTCGTGAATGGTCTAGTGGGTTTATAGACTGGTCTTAAGGGCTGGATTGTATAGAGGATTCTAAAACCATGAAAGCTAGAGGGTTCCTAGCCAACGGGCATGTAACATGTGGATGTATATAGAATATGTGTTGGAAGGCCTTGAGCCTATAAAACGGGGAGGACCCCTCATTTGTAATCCAAATTGGGCAAGAGGAAACCTAAGAGCGTGGGAGTGCTATTGTAAGGATTCTTTGGTATAGTGGGTTGAATAAGGCCTTTGGCCATACTCATGTGTCTCTTTCTTGGTTTGCTTGGCTATACTTCTGCATGCCTGTAGGTTAAACTAGTGTGTGCGTGTTGCGCACTAGTGTTAGACTTCGTTGGAACACGGGTTCTATTAGGTTGGAAGGTTGAATCAACCTTAAAGGGCCAATGTACGAGTTCCACATGGCCTAAGAGCGGGGTTTCATACTAAGGCCGCGACATGTGGTATCAGAGCACGGTTCGAGGGAACCAAGAGGCTAGACCGTGGGTGCTACATTTTCATGTGGGCAAAGAGAGAGGCACGTGATGGCTTCTGATGCAGGGCAACCAAGCTCGTGGGCAAGGCCAATGTGGCAAGAGCAAGAGGGAGAAGTCTCAAGATCCCTTGGCTAGCATGGAGAAAAGGATGGCATGACTTGAACTTGCCATGGGGGATGAGCAAGACTAGTTTGGGGAGATCAGTCATATCATAACAAGCCTCGAGGCTAGGCTCGAGGACCGCAGGACTGACCTGTTGTGGACCCTCAATGAGGCTATGGATATGAATAAAAGAGAGAGGGAAACTTTTGAGGACAAGGTGGTGGCTTGTTGGTCATGCTACAGGGGCAGAAGGAAGAACTGAGGGGCGACCTGGCTCTTTGCAAGAGGTTTGTGAGAAATGGGGTCTTGGTGACCCAAGAAGTCTCTAAGGTATGTCTGCTCAAACCTAGAACTTTCAATGGGTCTAAGGATGCTAGAGAGCTGAATAATTTATTGTGATTAGAGAGAGAGATTTTGAGGCCATGTCCTTAGGGGATGAAAGGGCCAAGGTGCATACTGCCACTATGTACCTTACAGATATTGCAACCTTATGGTGGCAGAGGTGCCATGCTAATATAGAATGGGGGAGTTGCATGATAGATATGTGGGATGAGTTCAAAAGGGAGATCAAAATGCAGTTCTACCAAAAAATGTGGAATATTTGGTCGGAAAGAACTTGAAACGGTTGAGGCATACAGGGTCCATCCGTGACTATATGAAGGGATTTTCAACCCTGATGCTGGAGATACCTGATATGGCTGAGAAATACCTGTTCTTTAACTAATGGATGGGTTGCAACCTTGGGCTGAGCAAGAGTTGTAGCGTTGAGGAGTGCATGACTTATCCATGGCCATGGCAATGGTTGAGCAATTGGTTGAGAGTCCCTCAAGGTTAGGACCTAACATGGATGACCTTGGCATTGATGGGGGAGACCAGGATGGTGTCTCTAGCCCAAGGGTAGGGCGTTGCAAGCCCTCGGGTTGGAAGAGTGGCAAGGAATACCTAGGAGACAAGGGCCAAAGGGATGTGCTCACACCTCAAGACTTCTATCGAAAGTGTAAAGGACCACACCATATTCGAGATTGTCCTAAGAGGGATGAGACAATGCCACTAAGCTTGAAGTGCTTCATATGCGACGGGCCACATAAAGCACGAGAATGCTCAGAGAGAGAATTCCTTAATGCCTTGGTTGCAAAGCTAGAATGACCAAAAGGATGATGATGACACTTTGGAGACTCGGATAGGGTCAATCTAGCTCTTCAATGGGATGAAGGCTGAGACAAGGAAACCCAAGGGCCCAAGTTAAAGTCTCATGTATGTAGAGGCCCAAATCAATGGAGACCATTATAGATATAGGGGCGATACAATTTTATCTCCAAGGATGAGGCTAACCGTCTGGGCTTACGGTTCGCAAAGGAGACAGGGTAGGTGAAGGTAATGAATTCAGAGGCCCGACTCATCCATGGTACAACATGAGAAGTAGGTATACACATAGCCCATGGAGTGGCAAGGTGGACCTATTGGTGGTACCTATGGATGATTATCAGGTGGTCCTCGGGATAGACTTCTTGAGCCAAGTGAACGTGGCACCCATTCCCTTTGCAGGTTCGGTGTGCATTATGGAAGGCACACCTTGCATAGTGCATGTGGTGCAAGGCACTAAGACAACTCAGGTGACCCTAATGGCGATGTAGCTCCTCAAGGTGAGGAAGCTGCCTCATAAGGCTAAGGAAGAGGTGCCTCCAAGTAGCAAAAGCACATCCGGGTTAGAGACTGACTACCAAAAGCATGCTGGCAAGGAAGAGAACGACTCAGATAAGAAGAGGTCAGCTTAACATGGATAAGCAAGACGTGGGGCACGGATGCTTGAGGATGGTGCGTGATCAAATGAGACATCAGATCAAAAGGTGTCTGGATGAGTAGCACTTACGGGGTAAGAGGTCACATTGGTCAACAAGGCAAGCTGGGAGGACACATGGGCATGGAGGCTACTCAAAGATGGGTTCACCTAATGGAAGGACTGCAATGAAGGCGTTGCTGGATTGGGTGGGGGATAGTGTCATGCCCTTAATTTTCCTAAGCCCATATGCCTTGTGCACTAGGTTCTTAGACACACTCTCTTTGTGTCACTTGGGCCCGAAAGG